TATTTCATTTAGGTGCTCCCGTGGTGGTAACTTAGCAATATCTTCCTTCCTTCGGTCACACTTATTGAGTTGGCTAATTTATTTTTCCTTCTCCCCTACTATAGAGCCTTTTTCCTCTTGAAATATTTTTTCAATATTCCTCGTATCCTATAAGCGCTTCGATCAACTCCCATTTTTAAATTCCCCATTCCTCTTATGAAAATGGGATTCTAATCGAAAATATTCTAAACCTTAAATTCGATGAAATTGCATGGACACAAGCCTCTTTACCCACTAAGATGGGAAAACTTGGTATCAAATCTTCGTCCGATATTGCCTTAATAGCCTTCATATCCATTTGTCTTTTAACACAAAATATAGTAAATTCTCATTTGATAAAACCCGACTCTTCCTATAATAATGCTATCATAGAGGTGGAAAGCACGTATTGCTGATAACCCTCTTCTTGAAACGAATAAACAGAAGGACTGGGATAGGCCTATTATTGCAATCTGCGTTGAATCACTTCTTTCCAGAATGCAATTATCTGACCGTCCCTAATTCTCCTCACTGCTTAATGGTTCAGGGCATGTGTTCCTTGAAGCTATTCCCTCAGTTAATTTGCAATAACTAAATCAAAATGAGCTCACTCTCGCGATTGGTATTCGTTTAAAATGCCTAACTCTTCTCTTCTCTTCTCTTCTCTTCTCTCCACACATGTTCAGGATGAAGTTCAGTCGTTTGGGTAATGGACAGGGTTGCCATGTCTCCCCACATCAACGGGAGACTCCCGCAATTTTTTAGTTTACACGCAGACATCTCTCTTCCGTAAAACTACAACAATTGGAAATCTCCCGCAAAAATCTACCGCAATTTTTTAATTTCTCCCGCAATTTTTTTAATAGTATTTTAACGTTTTTAATATATAAATAATAATTTTGAGAGACATTAATTGATTATTTTTATATTTTTTAAATAAATTTTAAATTTTTATTCGAATAACATGTCTAGCTTTTAAATTTCTTTCTATCCTGTTTTATTTATATCCAACAATAAATCAACATCATTTCATTCATATAAGTCAGTACAGGGGAGTATAACAACATCGATTGCAATACAAAAATATTCTCAAAAATAATAAATAATACAGATGCGACTATCATGTAGTTCAACATTCACAGAGCTATATAATCACAATGTGGGTCGAATCTTTTTCTCGTGATATTTAACGACTCCAATACAAATGCAAACCTTACTTGTGGCAGAATAAAAATGAGCAAGGCTATCACAAGTGTTTTAGTACCTGAATCCTAGAGGTCAATTCTAGACCATTTGAAATATGGGCATCCATATTCAATTCTAACAGATGCATCTAATAAGGGAAATATTAAAACATTTCCCTTGATCCTCCGCTATTTCAACAAGAATAAGAACATTTCCATAAAACTGTTAAAATTTTTTCCTCGGATAGTGAAAAATCCAACGATGTAGCTAGCCAAATAATGGTAAATATAATTGATTCAGGGTTATCAATGATTTGCATGTCAGCTTTCTGCTCTGATAATGCCTCTGTAAATTTTGGCAAAAACCAAAGTTACCGAATTGAGGCAGCACAATAATGAATTAATACCAATTGGCTGTATATGCCAAATACTACATAATTCTTGCAAGAAGGCAATAAATGTACTATCTGTGGATGTTGAAATAATTGTGATGAAATGTTTTAACGAATTTAGTCATCAACTAAAAGAGTTAATGAATTAAAAGAGTTGGTGAAGTGGTCTGACTTGGAATGGTGTGAGTTGTTGCGATATATACCTATCAGGTTGTCATTAATACCTGCCATCGATAGAATTTTAAAATTTTACAAACCCTTAAAAAAAATACTTTTCTTAAATAAAGATTTTAAAAGCTGTCCTAAAATTTTGAAAAATTTTTTCGAGTATTAAATGGCAGAAGCATATTTGGGATTAGTTTCACATGTAGAAAATCTACTTCATGCAGTTAATATTCAGTTGCAATCAGAATATTCTTTATAAAAAAGATTAACAAAATCATGCTACAGCTCTGTTCATCTCTAGAGTTAAAAATTGATAATAAATTTTATGGCGCTATTGCTAAAAATATTATATTAAAATGTTCAAATAATACTTTAATTAATACATTTTTAAATGAAGCAGATATTTTTATTAAGACAATTTTAAAATATTAACAATCAAAATTTGATTTTAATAACTCTATTTACAAATGTATAAATATTATGACCTTGGAACAGAAACTATCAATTGATGGTTTTTATAATTTAATATTAAAAATACCGAAAGACATTGATGTCTTGTTTGAGGAGATTGTAATTCTCTCTATTTTTTATGATTAGCTTAAATACTTAGTTAGATGGTCGAAAAGCAGAAGAGAAATGGGTAGAATTTTTTCGTAATAAAGATAAATCCCCATGCTTGGAAAAAATATGCGAGTATGTCTTTTACCTCATTCTAATGCCTCATCTGAGCGCATTTTTAGCCCGATGAGGACTGCCTGGAAAAAGAAGAGAAATCGGATTGCTTTAACAACATTAGACGCCGAGTTAATGTTAAACAAATATATAATATGTCATGCCCAGGAATTTTATAAATATCTCAATAACAACGGTAAACATTTAGTTGTATTATTTAAATTTCAAATAAAATATAATAAATTTTAGCAATGGCGCCATAAAATTTATTATCAATTTTTAACTGTAAAGATGAACACATCTTCAGCATAATTTTGTGAATCTTTGTTAAGATTCTTCTGATTGCAACTACACATTAACAGCATGTAGTAGATTTCCTACATGTGAAATCATTCATAAATATACCTCTGCCCTTCATTATTGAAAAACTTTTCAAAATGTTAGGACCACTTTTTATAATCTTTATTTAAGAAATATTTTTTTAAAGGTTTATAAAATTTTAAGATTCAGATGGCGGGTATTAGGAACATATCGCAACCAACATTGCGCTGACTCAATTCTGTAAATACACTATGTTTTACCAAATTCACTGAGGCATTACCAGATCAGAAAGCTGACATGCAATTTATTGATAATCTCGAACCTGCTATATTTACCATTATATGGTTAGCTGTCTTTAAATTTTTCACTATTTGAGGGGAAAAAATTTAATAGTTTTATTGAAACGACCTTAATTTTGTTGAAATAGCGGAGGATCAAGGGAAATATTTTATAAATGCATCTGTTAGAATTGCATATGTATGCCCATCTTTCAAAACGTCAAGAATTGACCTCCTAGATTTAGGTCCTAAAACATTAGCCTTGCTCATTTTTGTTCTACAAGTATAGTTTTCATTTATATTAGAGTAGCACTATATTATGGGAAAAAGATTCTACCAACATTGTGATGTTAAGTATCTCTTTGAATGTTGTACTACAAGATAAGTGATTACAATTGCCGCAACTCTAGTTGCATCTATATTATTTCTTATTTTTGGAGTACCTTATAATGTATTTAAACGTGATACGTGATAATTAAGCGCCTATCCCTATAATGTTATACACACACACGGTAGATTTCCGTTTTTTTTATAAAATTTTTATCTTGTTTACATTCTTATATATTTAAAAAAGATCGTTGGTTTTTTTATAAATTAATATATTTTAATAAATAAAGATGTTATTTTATTTTGAAAAATAGTTGTCGACGTTGTATTTATATAAACTAATTATAAAAAATAATAGGCAGATGATTAAGTCAACAAAATCCCGGCCGAAGGCCCGCAAATAAAAAAATTTCAGCAATTTTCGTATTTCTCCCGCATAATACCAAATTTCTCCCGCAATTTGAAATATTTGACCTGACAACCCTGGTAATGGAAGACATAGCCTCCACTGCCATACATGTAAAGGTCGTATCGTTAGCCGTAATCTATGCATTCAATCATCCTTAGAGCTTTGAGATCTGCTCAAATTCCCTTTATTCTTGAACCTTCCAGTTTTTCAGATCCGATTGGAAAGATCCTGAAGAGATTTCTCAAATTCTTTGGAGGCGTAAATTCTTGGTCTTACTCGTGAATTGATCCACTTGCATTATCCAATTAAACCATTAATATTCTTGGGAAAAAGGAGTCACTTAAAATAGCTAAATATTTAGAAATTTCTCAAGAATACATATTCATTCCCATCATTTCCACAACCTTAAATCTTTTGGGAAATGTGCTTTATCTTTTTTTAAAAAATTGGCTCTCACATACGCAAACTTACGGATGAACTTCGCGAAGGCTTCTTCTTAAGACAAAGACTTGCCATAGCGATACACAAGGCTAATTACATAAGCTTCATAGGCAGCCTCATCTCATCCCACAAGATGATTAGTTTTAACTCCAATATTTTTTGTGCCCCTCCCCTACTTTTTTTTCTCTTTGTTTTTTCTTATTACTAATATATGTATATTGTTCATTGTATATTATATGTAATATTATATATATTTGTTTATATGATAATACTTACTGTTATTTTTTTTAAAAATTCCCTTTTTATATTACTAATTATTTAGATAAATCATGCTATTATTAGTTTTTATTGTATTTTTTTGTCAAAAAAGGCGAAATTTATTGTATTTTACTTATAATTAGGATTCTATAAAATATTCTTAAATTAAAAAAAACTATTCAGAAAAAAGGAATATTATATATAATTAATTGTTTTCCATAAGTTTTTATAGAAATTTCAATGATCACCTTAAATAGGAAAACATTTTATCGCAACCTTTCTATTGCAAAATATTAATTTTAATAAAATTACCTATTGGGTGGTGTGGGTGGCAGCAATATGGTTTTCATAGATGTCAACCATTTTATAACAGGTGAGATACATTGAAAGAACATATGCTTTTTCGCCATATTGTGTACAGCTTATTTCTTTACATTCCTCTCCTATCCCATAACATAATATAATTTTATTTTGTAATTAAGATGTAAATGATACTATTCTATTCCTTTTAATATTCCTCACTATTAATTCGCAAATGTCGCAATTCATAAAATTGATCAAACATAAATCCAATCTCTTAGAATTTGAAAGAAATAGAATTCAAAATGAGTTATTTTTATTTCCAAATGAGGGAAGTATAGGTTATTTATCTAAACCTTATATTATAGTTAGCGATCATATTTTAAATCTCATTGGGATTGGAACAAAATTTGGGAATATTCAAATGTATAAAATTTTCAATAATTAATATAAACGTTTTTATATGCACCATATATCTATCTTATTTTGACTCTTATAAATATATTTTTTTCAAATTAATTAACATTAGATGTGGTTCACCAGGTGTTGAATACAATGGTATGTTAACAAGTGAGAATGGTATAAACCATATGTTTTTCATTCCTGGAAAAGTATAAATCAATCAAATTATGTGATAATTTCTATAAATTATAGGGAAGAATTATTGTGATATCTGAAGATGAAGTCATAAATCTGTATGAGTTTTATCAAGACAATTTCATAGGCAAAATAAGGCTACTGAATTCATTTAACATAAAGAATAGCATGTATATAATTTTAAAATTTTCTAATATATAAAATTATCTCTTTAGCATGATAAATAAGAATTCTGCTACCATTATGAAAAATTATAAGAATTCTAACAATTTTATCATTTCTGCTATTGGTAAAACAGACGATTTGATTACATTAAAAGAAATCTTTTACATTGGAACTCCTTCAGGAGATTTACACTCTTTTAATATAGATACATTCCAAATTAACTCCAAAAATTTTATCATGTCAAAAAGTTCATTCCAAAAAATTTTAAAGTATTTTTTTTTAATATAATGATATCATAATAAAAAAAAATTTCCTAATATTAGCTCTCATAAAAATATAGATAAATCTTCTTCGAGTGTTATAAAAAATATTATTCCACTTAATCATCTTGATAATTCAAATCAAGCTTTATTATTAGTTGGGCTCAAGAAGTACTTTATTTTGGTATGTGACTTTGCACAGCAGAAGATTCTATTCTATTTTGAACATGAGAAGGTATACATATTTATTATTTTAATAAAATTCAAAATAAGAAAAAGAAAATATTAAATATATTTAAAGAACATGAAAATTAAATTGAAAATATTACATTTAGACATTAATATTCTGAATTTGACCAAAAAATTTTATTTGGGAAAGCCCTGTATTAGGCAAATTTTTAAACCAATTGGCTTGGTCATAACAGGCCTATATATATGTATTATAAGTTTTATAAGTAGAGCTGTGCCAATATTATCATAGAATTTAATTGGAGAAAATATTTACTGTTCTTCAAATAATATAATTGGGCATATTGTAATTTATTTTCAAATAGTATTCATCATAGCTTGAAATAAAAAATATAGCAAAATTTTAATGCCAAGATTGGCCCATTAAAATTTTATGAAAAATCAGAGATTTATAACACCCTGTCTGATTTTTTTTGTATAAATTGTCCAGTCTGGTCCATAAATTTTTTATATACAAATTTCCTAGCCCAAAATTATTTACAAATTGACTGGCCTGTTATTAAAAATTATTCAATCCACTAGCTGGTATGGATGAGCCATACTTTGCATACCTCTGTTATAGAGTAATTCCATGTCAAATACAGGGTTGCCAGGTCAAAATTTTGAAATTGCGGGAGAAATTTGGTATTATGTGGGAGAAATATAAAAATTGCAGTAGAAATATAAAAATTGCAGTAGAAATATAAAAATTGCTAAAAAAAAATTTTTGCGGGTTGGAGGCACGCAAAGTGCCGGCCTTCGGCCGGGATTTTGAATTGACTTAATTATCCGCGTATTATTTTTTATTTAGTTTATATAAATACAAAGTCCGTAACTAATTTTCAAAATAAAATAGCATCTTGATTTATTAAAATATATTAATTTATAAAAAAAACCAATGATATTTTTTAAATATAAAAGAATGTAAACAAGATAAAATTTTATAAAAAAAAACGATTTTAATTTTACAATTAAAAATATATTTTATGTGAATGTCCCGCAAAACGACCGCAATTGGAAATCTACCGTGTGTGTGTATAACATTATAGGGATAGGCGCTTAATTATCATGTATCACTTTAAATACATATTAAGGTACTCCAAAAATAAGAAATAATACAGATGAAACTACAGTTGTGGCAATTGTAATCACTTATCTTGTAGTACAACATTCACAGAGATACTTATCATCACAATGTTGTTAGAATCTTTTTCCCATAATATTTAAGGACTCTAATATAAATTAATACTATACTTGTAGAACAAAAATGAGCAAGGCTAATGTTTTAGGACCTAAATCTAGGAGGTCAATTCTTGACGTTTTGAAAGATGGGTATACATATGCAATTCTAACAGATTCATTTAATAAGGGAAATATTAATATTAAAATATTTCCCTTGATCCTCTGCTATTTCATCAAAATTAAGGTCGTTTCAATAAAACTATTAAATTTTTTCCCCTCAAATAGTGAAAAATCCAAAGACCTAGCTAACCATATAATGGTAAATATAACAGATTCGAGATTAACAATAAATTGCATGTCAGTTTTCTGATCTGATAATGCCTCAGTGAATTTGGTAAAAACAGAGTGTATTTACAGAATTGGGTCAGCACAATGTTGGTTGCGATATGTTCCTAATACCTGCCATCGGAATTTTAGAATTTTATAAACCTTTAAAAAAATATTTCTTAAATAAAGATTATAAAAGCTGTCCTAATATTTTGAAAATTTTTTCCAATAATGAATGGCAGAGGTATATTTAGGAATGATTTCACATGTAGGAAATCTACTACATGCTGTTAATGTGTAGTTGCAATCAGAAGAATCTTAACAAAGATTCACAAAATTATGCTGCAGATGTGTTCATCTTTACAGTTAAAAATTGACAATAAATTTTATGGGGCCATTGCTAAAACTTAATTATATTTTATTTGAGATTTAAATAATAGAACTAAATGTTTACTGTCGATATTGAGATAATTCATTATTGTGCTGCCTCAATTCGGTAACTTTGGTTTTTGCCAAAATTTACAGAGGCATTATCAGAGCAGAAAGCTGACATGCAAATCATTGATAACCCTGAATCAGTTATATTTACCATTATGTGGCTAGCTACATTGTTGGATTTTTCACTATCCGAGGAAAAAATTTTAACAGTTTTATGGAAATGTTCTTATTCTTGTTGAAATAGCGAAGGATCAAGGGAAATGTTTTAATATTTCCCTTATTAGATGCATCTGTTAGAATTGAATATGGATGCCCATATTTCAAATCGTCTAGAATTGACCTCTAGTATTCAGGTACTTAAAACACTTGTGATAGTCTTGCTCATTTTTGTTCTGCCACAAGTAAGGTTTGCATTTATATTGGAGTCGTTAAATATCATGAAAAAAAATATGACCCACATTGTGATGATATAGCTCTGTGAATGTTGAACTACAGATAGATATATACGATTTCCGCAAATGTAGTTGCATCTGTAATATTTATTATTTGAGAATATTTTTGTATTGCAATCGATGTTGATATACTCCCCTGTAGGGCTGGGAACCAATAGTAAAAACCCAATATTAACAAAATATTGTATTGGTATTGGTATTGGGTCTAAAATATTGGTATTGGTTTAAACAATATTTTCTATTTCTTGTATTGGTATTGGTTTATATTGGTAACTATTGGTATTGGTTTAAATTCAAATTACTAAAGAATAGAAATAGTGATTATAAAACCCTTAATTTCTAATTTTAAATAAACATGGGAAAAAAATCATGATACCATAAAATCAGGGCTAAGAACCAACTCTCAAAATTTTACTGAATTCAAATTCTTTTTTTAAACTAGGAATTTATTAGGTGATGTGAATATAAAAAATTTTGATTTAATCATGTATTTTTTGTATCAACAATAATAAACGTATTGATTTTGAACCATTTTATTTATCACAAAGAACATAGCAAAATAAGTAAACTAAAAATGTAACATAACTGTCTATTTATACAAAATATAATGCAAAAGAATGATATAATTTTAATATAAGAAGAGGAAATAATTTTATGTATTTAAGAAGAATCTTGCATGTGCATCCAACTTTTTAGGCACAGGCAAGCTTGTATAGTATGCTCATCTAGTGAACAACGTTGGTCTGTTATAACATACTATCCTTCTGGAAAAGCCCTTTCAGAACTAGATGAGGTGGCCGGAATTGCTAGATAATCTGACAATTTTTGATAATACTGGATATCTATTTTTATTTAATTTCCACCAATCTAATGGATTTGTATCATTAGAAATTGTGGCTTCATCTACGTATTTACTTATTTCTAAGTTGTTATTATTATGAGGTTTCACCTGATAAATTTTGTCATAAGAGGACAATTTTTTGTTATTTTGTGCTTCATTTGTAAGTTCCGCTGAATTGTTTTTATTTATTTTATAAATATTGTATTCATTAGTAAGATATCCAATAAGAGTTTCCATATTATTATGTTTTAATAAATGACTTGATAGTTTAAATCTTGGGTCAATCATTGTTGAAATAATAAAAAGGTGTTTATTATAATTATAGTATTTATTAAGTTTTGTTAAGGCAGCTAAAGAAGCTGTCTTTAAAATAGCATTAGGATTATTATTATAACTCTCTACATGCTCAAAAATACTGGAATATAAAGGAATAATTGTTGAAATTGTTGGAGTATTAGCACATGAGGTCATCTTTGTAGCAAAATTAAATGGTTCCAGAAATTCTCGGTATATTTCTATATTATTCCAGGCTAAGGCACTAATATAATTTTCTTGATTGGTATTTTGTAAATGATTGGTATATGTTGTCAAATAGGGTTTGAGCAATATTGCTCTTTCAAGCATTTGGTATGTTGAATTCCAACGTGTTGGTATATCCAAAATTGGGTGAGGAAATTTTAAGTGTGGATTTTTTTCAAGATATATTTTTTCGAGTTTATTAAATTTAGATATAGAAAGTTTAAAAATTTCTTATTTTTTTTAAAGTTGTATTTAAGGGTCCCAATGCAGCCATGACAGCCAAATGTATAATATGGCAAAAGCATTTGCACACATTATCAAAATTATCTTTTTGTTTTAAAATTTTTAGAAATGCTAAATTATTACTTGCATTGTCTAATGTAATGCAAAAAAAAATCAATTTCAAATTTTACTTTTAATACAGAATTAAAAATATTAAAAATATTAATAGAATTATGTGCTGATTTAAAAGGAATAAAATCTAATAAATGATTATTTAATTTAAAATCATTATCAATATAATGAATTGTTCTGCCCATAAAGGGTATTTTATTTGGAGAGGACCAAATGTCCATTGTTAAGGAAAATTTAGATGTAATGTTAGAAAGTACAGATTTTAAATTGATAAAAGAACTATGATAATGTTTCATAATTTCTATTTTTAGTGTTTTTCTAGAAACTAATGTTAGTGAAGGGTTACAATATGCTATTAAATTTTTAAAAGTGATATCCTCAACTATTGAAAAGGCTAAATTATTTTGAATGAAAAAGTTTATAATTAAATTATTTAAATTAGCTTTATTATTTATATTATTAAGTAAAAATGATTTTATTGTCTTAATTTTTTTACTGCCAATATTTATTTGCTCACATTTCTTATATAATATTGGGTGGATGGATTTAAGATGTGTCCATAATCCTGAGGTTCCAAAATTGGGAAGTGATATTTTTTTTTACATTTATTACAAATTGCCTTTTTTTTATTATCACAAGTAGTATAAAATTCCCAGATTTTTGCTGACTTTCATTTTTTATTAGATATTGATAATTTTTCTTGTTCCTTATCGCTATTATTATTAGTACCAATATCATCTATATTTATTAACTCTATTTGGTCTTCATTTATTATAATATCGTAAATAAATAGATAAAATTGATAGATATCATGTAAAAAATTTACTTCCACAATAAAAATAAACTATAATTATAAATAACAGAAATATTGATGTCACAGTAGTATTTGGAAGAAATAACAGATGTAATCAGTTTTTGCAATGAAAGTAAAAAAAATACCACGATATAATTATCCACGATAAACCCAAATAATTATGTTATTTTTAATATTGGTATTGGTATTGGTTAAAATTGTATTTAAACAATATATCAAAACCAATATATTTAGGTAATTGGTATTGGTTGTAAAAGCAATACCAATATTTAAATATATATTGGTTTATATTGGTATTGGTATTGTAAACCAATATTATATTGGTATTGGTCCCACCCCTACCCCTGTACTGACTTATATGAATGAAATGATGTTAATTTATTATTGGATAAAAATAAAACAGGATAGAAAGAAATTTACAAACTAGACATGTTTTTCGAATAAATATTTAAAATTATTTTAAAAATATAAAAATCAACTATTAATGTCTCTCAAAATTATTATTTATATATTAAAAATGTTAAAATACTTTAAAAAAAATGCGGGAGAAATTAAAAAATTGCAGGAGATTTCCAATTGCGGTAGTTTTGCGGGAGAGAAATGTCTGCGTGTACGGGAGTCTCCCGCTGATGGGGGAAGGCATGGCAACCTTGGTCAAATAAAAGAGGATTTTTGGCCCATTGATCTCAATGAAAATTTATATGATGGTTACATATGTTCTAATTAAATCAAACGAAGTTTCAACTTTTATATTTCTTAAGTAATAGGAGGTTCAAAGTGCAAAAATCGACTATATTTACTTTGCTTATCATATTAATCGTTATATATTAGTAAATTAATAAATTAAACTAAATATATTATTTACTAGTAGATAGGCCGTTAAGACTGATGGGAACTGAGAATTTTATCCTTAATTTTTATGATGGACGTTAACTTTTATTTGATACCCTTATAAATATTTTGTTATTAAAATATTCCTGACCTCCCAAGACCTATACCAGCTCACTTAGAGTGATAATTATCATTAATTAAAAAATATTTTAATTACCTTTTTTTTATTACCCATATTTATATTTTTTTATTTCCCCACCCACCCTCCCAGACCAATTATAACCCATTAAGACCAAGAGTGAATACTTTCAATCAAAAGAATTTAAAAATTTATCGATATTTTGTTTTGATTAAAGACAACTTTAAAAATAAATAAATAACAATAAAATTTGAGAACCCGTGAAGGCATAACGCTAAGCCTTTACGATGAAAATGTAACGAATGCTAAGCTGCTGCGATAAATGTTCAGTTATAGTATTTTGTCGTGAGTTCGATTCCAAATCCGGATATTATTGCACTTCGTCACAAAATATGACAAAAAATTGTAATAAAATATGTCAAGCTTTTTATTAAATAAAAGATAATTAAGCAAGTGATGACTCATTAAGATGAGGGAGAAAGAAATGAAAATGATTTCTTAATGTGTCCTTCAATAATTTGCATGACAAATAAAAAATATACGAATATGTCTAAAAATATTAAAGATTGCCAAGTAAATTATTAAAGGAAACATTAGGTAATCAGTTAATAAGCACAGAAAAATTTGCCGAACTTGGGAGTCTTAGTCACTAAAAAAATTATTTTTCAACCTCTTGGGGGTATAAAATGACCATGTTATAACAAACAATATTATTTTCGCTTTTTCACCTTAATTAACAATCTTTTACTTAGTAATTTTTGTTAAATTTAATATTCATAATTATTGAATATCCTTTAACACTTAATATCTTTTGGTAATATAGAAGCTACCGGATACAAATTTCTTTTCTAATCTTACTTTATCATTTAATCTTCATATTAATTTTTATCGAAATATAAAGAGTACTCAAGAATGCCTTTTTTTGTCAATTTGTCATGGAATGACTTATTGTCCATCTTTGAAAAGATTAATTTTTGTGGAATAAAAAAAATTAACCTAATCATTCACGATAATACCCCAATTTTCAAAGCGATTTCCGATCCTTCTAAACTTTTTATATTATTTTCAATATTGTTCGAAAGGAAATAGAAGATATCTCATTACATCATTCTACTCTTCACCAAAAAAAATTCCCTGAATTTGTTTCTTCGCATCAGGATGGCTCCCTCCTTATTTGGGAATATGATTCCGAATCTGCTAATCAGCTCTTGTCACATGTCAATCAAAAATTATTTCCTGAAAATTTAAATGAACGCAACGAGGAGTGTGAAGATTTGATAACATCCTTGCAAATTGACCAATCACCGATCAAAATTTGCTTCAACAAAAATGGCATCTACCCATTTGGTATAATTTGTAAAATATAAAAATACTAATATCTTTACAATTTTTGATTTGACTTATCATAATATGAAATGCAAATGATAGACAAGGCAAATTAACTAATATATCCAATTTTAATTAGGAAGCCGATTTTATTTATAGTCAAATGTTTTAAAACAATTATCCTAAAACGCAAAATATGGACTCGGTCCAAAAGTATTCAAGCCAATTAATTTTAATTTTGATATATTTTTAAATAAGGGTGATAGTGATGATTTATTTTAAACATCTTTTTTAGAACAATAGAGGAAAAGGAACGAGGTTACTTATAAAACTGTCCTCGCCGTCTCTATTTTTTTAATTAAAGTTTATTCCTCAAATATACATTATTATAAAATTAATTCAATATATTAATTGGAATATATAAATCATTTTAATTATCCTTTTGTAAACTATATATTATTAATGTAATTAATTGTTATGGCAATGGTTTTGAAAATGCGAATATATTGTAATTATGAATGAGCCGCCAGTCAATTGTTATCTTATTTTTAATATTCAATTTAAGATAATAATTGTCCACCCTCCATTTTTCCCTTTTCTTTTTTTTATATAGTTAATAATCATGATATTTTTTTTAAATGAATATAATATGTATAATCATTTATCATAGGGACCAAGAACAACAAACCGATAACTAAAGTATTATGGAAAGATTCAGGATTACTCAGGTATCGGATAATAGTTTTAAAATATTCATTTAACCAAAAAAGGATAAAGAAAAGGGAAAATATATAAAATAACCAGTAGAATTAAAATAATTTTTCGATTTAATTTTGTTTGTTAATCCACAGATTCATTTATAAATTGACGTGAATAAATATTTTTTTCTAATAAAAAAAAAGGGAATATGTTATGTGGAGGATTTAATAAGATTTCTTGGCGTCTATGTAAATTAATAGCGTTATAAAAGTAGGATTTTCAACCTCGACAAATTTTAGAAACGGCCGTTATGTAAAGCGTTATATTTTCCTTACCTTGCAAAAAAGGAACGCGTTGTTACTCCTTATTTTTTAAAAATAAAATAGATATAACGCCGAAAATTGGAGTTTACCCATTCTAATTTTAAAAATTCAATATGAAAGAATGCATTTTAAAAAAATACAACTTTATCTCCCATTATATGGGGATCAGATCGACATAAAGAGTAGATCCGATGTTAAAAAACACTGTATCCTTATTTTTTTTATAAACAAAAATTCTTATTGATTGTGATGTAATTTTTGAATTTAGTTAAGAAATCCATATTGATTGATAACGTTTTTAATAATAGGTATTCCTTCATAGGAAAAGAGTAATAAAACATAAAAAATTTATAAATTAAATTAACAAAAAATTTAGAAGTGGTTAGATCTAGTATTCATGTAACTTAAAGAAAAATTTAAAAATAAAAATGTAAATATGTGAATACAAATTTTAAACTAGGAACTTATAGTTTATAATAGTAATTTCATTTTTATAGCTTAATAAATAGTAATTTGAATTTATAATTTTTCTGGTTAAAGAATAATTATTTAATATTCCTATTTTAAATGGATAGCTTAATAGAAAACTATTTAAATTTATTAGTGTCTTTTAAACTTGATAACTACTAGAGCCCTTAAGATAAAAAAATTTTGATAGATCCGATTATTTTTTCTAAGATGTGTTTTAGTTCCAATCCGAACTCTTATTTTAGAAATAGCGAAAAATATTGGATTGAGATTTTAAAGTTCAAGAGAAAAAAATCCAAAATTTTGCTGAGATCAACCCAGCCCTGTCATTAAATTAAGATCCGGCCCGACCTAGTTCGAGATAATGTTTGACAGGTGTAGGGTTCTAATAATTTAACTTTATAAAACTGATATCAGCAGGCTATAAGTAATAAATAATTATTTATTTATTTTTCGATTGAAAAAAAAACGCGCCAAAGACCCAACGAATCGTTTTTAATTTTTTTGGGCGGAATGCCAAAAGATGGTGATCACGTTGATAAATACACTCTCACCATTTTGAAGGCGGAATCACCTGCTTCTAAAAAAGAGGCCGACGATTATATTAATATTGTTAATAATGATTGTAAGAAAATTACCACTTCCCTTCAAAACATTTTCGAAGTCACGAATAAAATAGAGGATTTCTTATTCTTGGATATTAATAACAAAGGTTAAATTAAATTACTTTTAAGATAGTTATATTTATTTAAGAAAGTAAATAAATATGAATGCTAGAAATTTAGGAAAGAACAATAGGTAGTTCGTTAGGAAAGTAGGAAATATAAGTGAGAGAAAAAAATATATGTTAACATATAAACGTCGTAGATTATATTGAAGTCTTTAAAAGTGATCATAAAAACTTATTTTATTAAATTGACGTGCGTAATAATACAATGGCACTAACCCCTGAGAACATTTAATGGGGTTCGAGTTTTAAATAATGTTATTACTTAAAATCGTAAGTATAAGATCTGGATTTTTCAATGATTTCATAATTTTGACTAAACAACTTGCATGCAAAATTTAGTTTATTTTTGACTACTGCTTTCTTTTTGAATTATCAAGGATTTTTAATCAATTTTGATCATCTCATTTTTTTAAAAAATACTATGATTTCTTTATAATTCTAAATTTTGGTCTCTACATTTTATGCTAAACTAATTTTTTAATATGGAAAATTAATTATTATTTTTTGATCTAATAATTAATATCATGACGAAAAATAAATTAATGACAGGGATATCACCCTTTAAAATTTGGGTACTATTCGCTCAACGAATTCTCTTGCATTATTTTTTATAAAGAATGTTCTCAAGGCTTATTAATGTTAGTCGACGATTCAGAAGTATACATACATTTAAGTCAGTTATTGTCGCTGCCATTAGCTGTATTAGATGCCATTGAAAGGCATTTCGTTTAAATGTCTAAATTTTATCTAAATGCCTTTAAATGGCAGACTTCAAAGTATGTTTCCCTTTAAATAAATGCCATTGATATATTTGGAAATTAAAAAATATTTATCTATATTCAAATTTACTCTATTCCATCTATGAAGTACATATCCTTTAATATACCTAGGTGAATATCTCTTTATATTGGCAGAAGAGGAGTGGATCGCTCTCGTAAATAAGATCTTGACAAACCCCGATTTACCAGAAAAGAAAAACGAAGAGATAAAATATTCATCCATATCGTTGAAAAATGAGAGCTCCGAAATCGCTAAGAGCGAAACTCACTTTCGACCTATACAGACTCCTTATATGACTTGTTTGCATCGTTCGGCTATAACTGCTTGCCATATGGTAGACGATCCACTATTTTGTAATAGGATTGCTAAAGAATTTGCTCATCTAGGCACAGAGCCTTTAAGCGAATGGCCTATATATGGCACCTATGATTTTTGTCATTCTATTTCTTTTTATAGCGATAAAGGTGGTAAAGACGGAATTAAAATACTAGATCCTATCAAAGGCCAACACGATTATCAAATTTGCATTACTGGGTAAATTATGATAAGATTTTTCTTTTTATGGTAAGTTGTAAGTTTAAGCCCCTTTTATCTGAGTTATTGCCCAAATTGAAACAAAATTTTGCCTGATTTAAAATGAATTATATCATTTTAAAATTGAAAAAAGTGAACTAAGGAATCGGTTGAAGACAGGGTTGTCAGGTTAACATTTTTTAATTATGATAGATATTTTAATTATATATTTTTATATGGGGGCGTCCCATTCTTTTGCGGTTAATTATTATATAAGGCTGTGCCGATATTGAATATCGGATCGGATTGGTACCGATATTTAGCGTTTTCCAAAAATATCGGAAGGGGCCAATACCTGTAAAAAACCGATCCGATCTTTTTACTTTTCTTTTTTTTTGTTATTTTATGTATATTTATTTTACATTAATAATTTCTAAATTATTTTTTTTAAACAATGCAAATGCACAACACCCCTTAAATTTATAGTATTTTTAAAGTTTTTTTATAAAAATAGAAAGGAACACCTTAAGTTTTATTTATTTTAAATCTTTTTAAACAATAACGCCAATTTTATTATTTATACTTTAAATAAAAGAATATTTTTAAGATGCGAATTATTGAAATATTTTACAAAAGACTAATAATTTTGCAAAATGCGTTATTTGCGGAATTCTAATTTCACGGGGAGGAATAATGAAAAATTCATTTAATACTACCAATATCCGTAAACTTTTTTTAATTATTGTAGAAATAAAAAATAAATTAAATGCATAATTCTATTTTTTGCATAAAAATATTGATTTCTTAATTACATTTGGTTCAAGGGGTGGGGGTTGAAAAATCAATAGAAATATCGGAATCGGATCAGTTTTGAACCAATATGGATCGGATCGGTGAAAAATATATGAATCGGCACAGCCCTACTATAAAATAACAAATTATAAGAAATAGTACAAAATTTTACATAAAAAAATTATTTTACGACACTTTTAAATCATAAAAAAATTATTTAATAAAATCTCTGTTTTGATATTATTCGTTGCAACTCATTTCCATTTATTTTTTAAAACTTTCTTGTGGAAATGCACAGATATTTATGGTGTAGTGACCGATAATTTAAATTTTAACCAATAATAGTGGCCAATAATTAAATTTGATAATTAACCTTCATGAAAAAAAATTTGTCAACATAATGCTATGAAATTATAGTAAATTGGAATATTTAGATAGTAAATAAATCTTCTAAAATGAATTACACAAAATTTTGAACAAGATTATATAAATTATTTGCACAATTGTTAGAGCCATTTCCTGGAAATTTCAAAATAGGTTCTGCTTCCAGTAAATTTTAGGTTACTAGATTTGTGATTCCGACTCCAAACTCTTATTTTAATTTCCTTTTATAATTCAAAAAAAAGTGAGATGGATAAGTGGCTGTTTATGCCTTAAACGTTTTAGAGAGAGACATTCAAGCAAACGATTTATATCCATTTAAAGATAGATTCATTGTTGGGATGAGGGGATAGATTCGAGGGATTATCATCTGGCGTCAAAGATTAAAGGGGTTTCAGGGGGTTTTATACATTTTAATTTCGTCTTTTTAACTCAAATGTTTTTTTATTACAAATAAAGTCATGAAGATGGAAGTGTGAGATTTTGGCTTCTCTTTACTACTCTTCCGAACGTCTCTCTCCTTATATCGACCCTCTACACTGCTCATTTCATCCCATCCTTCCCTGGTCCTTCTCACATACCTGAACCCGAAAAGCTATTATTCGAAAAATCGGAATTGAGAATCGATCCTATAGGTTTATTCGATCCATTTTCTGACGACCCCAGGTTGGCCATTCACAAGTTTGAGTTGCTGCCTAATAGTGAAAAAACAAAATGGTCCTTCGCTATCGGTGGAGCAGCTGGCCAATGTTTTGTTATATCCGATCTCTTCAAATTGCTCTCTCTGAACGCTGGAGCTCATTTTGGTATTCATTTATCAATAAAGAAATTAATTATTCAAACTACCTAGTTAAAATCAATGGTTCGATTTCAGCCTGCTCCACAAGCTAGAACCCTGCTTCGGACTTATTTTTTCAGGTTTGACCCTATCTTAGTAAAAATTTTGTCTTAAAGATCTGAAAATTGTTTTCTAAGATCCGATCCAACTTGAAATTTTATTTTAGAACTATAAGTCCGAGTCGATTTTTTTTTTAACTGTTGAAAAAAGTACAATATTTTAGCAAAATCAATTTTTTTAAAGGCTAAAGGATAATAGACAATTTTTTGGTTTTTCTTGAAAATAATATTCATAAAAAACATTAGTAAAACAAAGTAATTTAAAATTTTCTCGAAGTCCTAATGCGGTCCGAAATAAATTATAAAATCAAGGTCAGAATCAGAGAAAATGTTTGTTTATGACCTGTCCGTGCAGGGCTCCGTTATAAAATTTAGCTGACATTATAGCGAGATTCCAGTTGGTTTCTAAACTTGATCTGTAGTGCAGCCGACTTTTTTTGAAAAAGAAATTCGGTTTATGGAACGCACTTTTACTAAAACTATTAAATTTATTAATACAATTTGAAATAAATATCTGTTACCTAATGGCTCGTTTTGGAGAAGCCATCTTTAAAATCATAATTGATTAATGTATAGAATTACCAAATCGTAACCTAGGTAACCTCTTATCAGATGAACATTTAAGAGTTGCCATAGGCCGAAATGGTTACAACATAGTTCAACCACATACATGTATAAAATGTAAAATATTAGTTGATTCCAAAGGGAAATATGGTCTTAATTGTATATAGTGTCAAGGCAGATATGCAAGACAAGCAGGGCCCGAATTATAAACATCCTGGAACCTGCTAATTTATTATTAGGTGATGGCCTAAGACCAGATGGTTTAACTTTGCCTTGATCTTTAGGTAAATCCTTAATTGGGACTTCACATGCGTCTCTTCATTTCCAAAAAAATTTAAATGACCCGGTTGTTATAGCCAAAAATAATTAAATATTACAAATTAACAAATTATATTTTTTTACCAATCGTTATCTTTTCCTTGGACATATGTCAAGCGGAACTTTAAAAATTTTAAAAACTATAGGCGGTAAAATAAAAGCCCTTACATCAGAACCTAAAGAATATTATATTTTAAAACAAAATATACAAATGACAATTTTAAAATACAATTATTCATGTTTTTTGGGAACTTGTAGTCCCACATCCGTTTTTATATAATGAGTTTTTTTTTATATTAATATAGTTTTATATATTATGATATTTTTTTAAATATTTTTATTTTTTTAAACTATGTTAAGTATTTAATATATTAAAAATCGTTGTAATGATATCAAGATATGAATATATAAACAATATTTTTAATAAAAATAACTATAAATTATTAAATATATAATATTTGTAAGAAAACACCATAAAATAATAAAATATAATTTTAAACATTAATATGTAATCCAATTTTACACGCTTAAGTATATGAATAAATTTTGGTCTAAAAGAATAATAATGATTTATTTTATAAAAGAGTTTTAAAAATTATTATATCAATCGTATCACGTCAGTACCGTGAAACTTTTTGCGCGAAATGCATTACCGCGAATGTTAATTACCGCAAAAAGATATTATAGCGAATGCATTACCGCGAATGCATCATAGCGAAAACAGTATCGCGAATGCATTATCGTGAATGCATTACAGCGAATGTATGACCGCGAAAGCATCATAACGAATGTATTAGAGCGAAGATATTATCGCGAATACATTATAGCGAATGTATTAGCGCGAATGCATAGCGAAAACAGTATCGCGAATGCATTACAGCAAATGTATGACCGTGAATGCATTATCGCGAATGTATGACCGCGAATGCATTATCGCGAATGTATTAGAGCGAAGACATTATCGCGAATGCATCATAGCGAATGTATTAGAGCGAAGACATTATCGCGAATGCATTATCGCGAATGCATCATAGCGAAAACAGTATCGCGAATGCATTACAGCAAATGTATGACCGCGGAATGCATTATAGCGAATGTATTAACGCGAATGCAATACCGCGAAATTATTATCGCAAATGCATTACAGCGAATATATTATCGCGAATGCAATATCGCGAAAGCATTACAGCAAATTTATTATCGCGAATGTAATATCATGAATTAATTATCACGTATGCAATACTGATTTATATTTGACAAATGATCTATATAATTAATATAAAGTATTAAAATTCTTTACTACTTATCCAATTACTTCTTAATAAATAGTTTATCTTTATTATGTTTTTATATTTTAAATATATTGGGGACAATAAATTTGTCATCTTTTGGAAATTCCTAGCTGATAATATTTTTCCCGATCTCTATTTTTCTAAAGAAATTCTTTAAACTCACTAATTAATATTGTAACTCATTTAGCAAGTTGAGACTTTTTTCAAAAAACGAGAAAACCAGCCTAATTGACGTTTCTATATTTATTTAACGTAGCGTTTTTTAAATTTTTATAACTCTAAAACACGTCACTTGCTATTTATGAAGTTTCGTATCCTAAAATTTTTTTAATAATTAGATTAAATCGTTTTTTAAAAAATTTGAAATACTAATATTGGACAAAAAATAACTTAAGACCCTCATTTATTTTTATTTATTTAAATATAGGCTAGACATGTTCCCATTATATTGATCATAGCCGGACGCTCGCCTTTTTTTTCAAATTTTTTTCGTAATTATTAAACAAAGCATATTTTGAGATCCGTAAAAATATTAAAAATTTATGTAATTAATCTATCCTTTTTTTTCTTGCATGAACCTGACAATAAACGCCAATTTGATATTAAGGGCCATATTTTACCAATTTTTTTTTCAAGTTTATAAGATTCAAAAGGTTGTAGCTTATTACTTGATAGTTTTTCGATATATGGAACCCGTATCTTGAGGTCTCTTTAAGCTGTTGAACTGGACTAATATTCCACTTTCTTCTAGAAAATTTAGGAATTAAACTTCTTTCCAATTTTTCTTCTCATGGCATAATTTTATCATTATCAGATCTTCTCTTGATAAAATAATTAATTTACAAAATTACCGTATATGCTTATATTGTTAGTGGCATTTAATAATGAGATTTCTTTGATAATACCGAAATATTTTTATGTTATAGTTTATGATTTAGGAGAAATTTTAAAAAGATGAGTGTCCCGACTACATTTTTAAAATTTAAAATATTTTGAGATTATTAAGATACACAATAAAATAGATTTCATAAAAAGAACGATGACGCGTTTCAGAGTTATAAAGATTTAAAAACGTAACGTTTTTTAGTCAACCAGTAAATAATCTAAATTTTTGATCTCATGATCAACTTTCTTCCAATAGTAGGGACTAGGGATCGGCGTTTTTGTCAAAATCATCATAAGCCTAAAAATAATTGTTGTATTTGAATTTATAAAATACTATGAGATAGCCCAACAAACATTTACCTAAAGTTATACATTAATAAATATTTTTAATATTTTATTGATTCTAATAAAAGTTAAATTTTTCCCCAACAAGCCCCAAACCCGGGGCTTGTAGATTCCATTGGTTTATTAAGTCTCTTACATAGATGATTATAATTATTATTCTTCTATTTTTTATGGACTATGTTTTATTGATATAATACATCATTTGCTTCTAAATAATTCATATAAAAATGTCAAAATATGACATTTTATTAATTTTAAAAAATGTTTAAGTTTTTAATTATTTTTTAAATTTTTTTTTTAATTATAATAATTATCATATAAAATTAATTTAAAGCTATAATAGTAGCTAATGAATACTCATTATATCATATTTTTAAGCATAATTTAATTGATTTAGCTAGCCTTGATTCTAATAGCCTCTAGTTATTTATATGTTTAACCCTATCCAGCGCGAAAATAACATGTTGATAATTTTTTCATTTTATTATAGTAAAAAGTTTTTTTTATCTATAAATATAATATAATTTAAATTTTTCAAAAATATTTTTAAAAAATAAATTTCATATAGATACAACTACCCCCCCCCCCCCCCACCAGCCATATCTGGAGGCATATAAATTTTTAAATAAGATAAGATGAAGGGGAACATTGCATTGATTAGACCTCCATCTTATTAAATCTATTGTAATCGTCAAAATCATTAATTTTATAGCTTTAAGTTTAAAACAAATAATAAGCCAGGTGCCGTCATGTAAATTCTCGGAATACCCTTGAATAAAAAAATGGATAAAATAATCTTAAAAAAAATTATTCAACGCTGGGCGATAAAGTAATATGATAAAATCTAAAAAATAAAAAAAGATTTTTTCTTGTCCCAAAATATAAATCCTAATTTGTATTTGTTTATGATAGATAATTTTTTAGCTAATCTTGGACAACTTTAATTGACAAATTATATCTTAAAAGTTTCGCGAATTTAAAGTGATTTATAGCAGGGACCTGGAGAGCACTTTTTTTAAAAATATATTTTTTAAACAAAATTTTTATGAAACTAAATTCTAATTTTCTCGGCCAAAGCCTGTTTATGAATAATTATGATGATATTTTTGAGTTTCCGGTTGTTATTTTTTTAAAATATGATGGACAATTAGAAGTAGTAATGTTAAAATTATGAAAATGTTTCTTTCTTTATCAGTTCCTATTAGTGCTTTGCTTTAACTAGTAGAGTAGCCAGTTTAAAAAAAATATCAGCAACTAAGCCAGTCTTACGTCAATTTTTTAGAAATTTTTTCAATATTTAATACTTTGTGAGTTATTTTAATCTGCACTGCCCGGCCTGAATTTCTTTAAAATAAATATTAATTTACATAGATAATAATGGTAATTTAAAATATATGGTTTTAAAATATATAGCCCCTGCCAGTGTATTTAAAAAAAATAATTTTAGGCTGGGCTCGGGTATATTTGAAAAAAATAAAATACGGCCCAGGCCGGGTTTAAGGCTG